AAAAAGTGCTTCATGTTGGACTTAGTGTGAACCATTCAGCTTGGAGCTAAATTCAAACAAAATAATATTCAAATAAACCATACGAATATTCACCTCAAAACTCGACCTAATCATGTAATTTTCTTTCAAAGTAATAAAAAATGAAATACAAATAATTAGAATACTAAGCTCGAAAGTCAGAACAGACATGACGACCATAAAAATGCCCTAATTATTAACGATGGCTCAAATAAAAGAGTTGATAGAGTTGTAGAAACTTTTGTTTTTTTATTTTAATTAATTTAGTTATGAAAATAATATTCTAAGATAAATAATTTATTTATTTTCAAATTAATTTATTTTTTATCTACTATTTAATTGAAGAATCTTTTATTTCGTCAATTATTTCTAAAAGTGTAAATTGTCAAATGGTTTGACAATTCCTCTTAAGGGCATATTTCTAGATCCTTTACTTTCTTGAGTTTAACAAATTACTGAAAACTATACTCCAAAAAACTAACCAAGGGGCCACATGACAGAAGAATTCAAGGGTCATTTCTGAATGATATTATCACTGACTGACAAAGAAAGCCATATGATTTTTCATCCACCAAACTGTACTTCTCCATATTGTCAAATTGATCAAAACCCAGGAAATGAAAAAAATGTGACAACTAACACTCGTTCGAGCTATAACCCACCATTTGAGCTCTCATCAATTTCCTCGTCCCCCCTCCTGCCTTTTAGCTTTTCTTAGTGTCAATGATCCTCGATCTTCTTCAAGCCCTTCATGTCTGTCGTTTCCACTCTGTACCACAAACAACACATTAACACAAATTCACATGCTCGGCTTAATTTAGATTTTTCGATACCAAATGCACGCAATAATTAGCCGGTAAGTTAATGAAAGGGATATGTATTCCTCTCGAAACTACTCTGTGTGTTCAAATTTTGCCTCAAAACAATTTGATGTCAGGACACTCCACAATAAAGAGTAAAGGGTTAAGTTTGTCAAATGATTCGTCTCATGGTCAAACAATTTGAAGACGAATGAGTAATGATAGTATCTGTGGAAAAGACTTTCTACCCACACAATTTAAGATTGTATCAGAAGCAAGTCCTAATTTGGTGCCTAGATAACGGCGCATATGGAGACCTAAAAATGTTTGGAAGAGAAGGAACGTTGCTGATTACTCCATGTCAAGAAGGATAATACATAATGAAACAAAATGGTTACATAGGATAAAATATATCATACATATAAATGACATACTTCGAGGAATAGACGACATAATGCATGTGTAAGAGAGAGATCTTGAGGGAATAGGATATGTCATATATAAGTTTCAAACGGGTGGAAGTATTTGAAGATTACCCATTTTCCTTTCCACATCACATATTGAGATGAATCTGAAACTTGGTGTCTGTTGATTCAGTTTTATTTAAACTTTATTAAGAATTTCGAGTTTACCCACAAATAATCCAAGATAGGACTGGACGAGGTTCTAACATGACAACTACAATGTACTTCTATCTATGAAGATTTGGTGAATGAGAAAAAGAATAAGGTACTAATGAAATGAGAAAACCAAACAAGTCATTAGGAATCACTAACAAATAATAAAGTGAGATACTATTTACTTAGAATTCAACTTAGATATATATAAACAAGAACAATGGAATACATAGATGAGAAGAGAATTATGGCATTAAATTTGTAAGATATACAAGTAAGAAATATATGCATTTGGGAAAAGACTCAAAATTTCAAATTAAAGCAGACTGACAACTGAATGTAATTGTGGTAAATAAAAACAATATAATACATAACCATGATGAACACGTAACATAAGAAGGAAGAGCAGATTCATAATCCCAAGTCCAGGCAAGTTACTGGCTGTATATAAGTATAGCAATAGATTCAACATGAAAAAAAACATAGGAGACCATTCAAGGAGCAAGAAAACTTACGTGGTTCCATGCAGGGCAATCTTATGAACCTTTGTGACATCTGAACCAGATTGATTGTCTTCAATGAATATTGGTAAGCTGATCAAAATAATTAAGTGAGACTAAC